TTGGCCTTCGCCAGTCTGGAAAACGGAAGATGGGAGGGGAGGAAGGGGGTGGAGGCAGCAGAAGAGGAGCGGAGTTGTGGTGGCATTCTCCCGGGCGGCAGTGGGCCTTTCCGGTGGGTTTTTTTCCGGCCGGCAGTGGGCCGACCGGTGGGAAAGATGGGAGTCTAGGGTTTCGGCGAGTCTGGGAGAGAGAAAACCGACTAGTAACCACAATAATTATGTATTTGATTTATAACAAAAAAAAATAGATAAACTTTTTAAAACGCATTTCAATCTAATTTGGATAGTCTAACCGCTAAAATAAAGATGCAAAATATTTATTTCGTTCGAAATTTGAGTCTTAAATTCGGGACGAAAGCGTAATTCCAATCATATAGTTTGGTCTCGATTCCGAGATTAGTCTTCAACTGAATCCATGACACTAGATTACCAAAAAATGGGTATTTTATCTTAGATATATGCAAATAATAAGCAGAGCCCTTCTAGAGAGCGATTTGTATAGGAACCCTACTTTATTTGAAGACAATTCTATATTTCTAATTTTCTAAATTTGCATATTTAATAAATTCATTTTGTTTTTATAATTTATTTTAGGGATAAACAAAGAAAAAATCTCAAACTTTACCATTTACTAAAAAGAAAAAAAAAACTCTAAAAAACCTCGAACTTGCGAAAAAAATATAGGGACAATGGTAAAAAAACACATGAATTTTGTGTATTTGGCAAATAAATACACAAACTTTCATTTTGGTAATAAAATATACTAACTTTTATATTTTTAGTGCAAACCTCCACGAACAGTAACGACGTAAAAAAAATAACAAAACCATCAATACATCATGTACAGTTGTATATAAATATCATATCATTTGTTTAATAAAACCATTGTAGAAAAATAAAATGCAGAAATAAAATAAGATAAATAGAAAGGAACGAAATTACTTTTATTGCTACATCTCTTCTTCTTCTTGTTGAATTACAATGAAAATGACTCACATATTTATAGGAAAACTATGAGACAAATAAAAAGAAAATAGAAATAAATAAGATCGATACACAATATTTGATATAATATTATGTCCATTATTATTTCTAATAATATCTTAAAATCAATATTTTCTTCAATCACATATTTATTTTTCTATTTCAACATTCTCCCTCAAGATTGATTTTGAAAGAATGCAAAAAACAATCTTGAAAAGATAATACGATAAAAATCCATAGACATTTTCATTGTCTTTTGAAAAATCCATAAACACCAAATTTAGTTCTTTTAGAGAATATTACCCATGTTCAAATCACTTCGCTTGACTTTGAAGTTCTACCTTTAACTCTTTTTGTCATAGCACCTCGCTTGATCTTAGAGTTTTTAGGTTTGACTTCTTTTTGTCACAGCACCTCGTTTGATTTTGGGATTTTTACTCCTATTTGAACGATTTGGATATATGAACATCCAAAACTAAAAAAAAAAGATTGAGAAAAAAAAAAGAAGATATAGAGCAGATCGAACCAGGCTCTGATACCATGTAGAAAAATAAAATGCGGAAATAAAATAAGATAAATAGAAAGGAACGAAATTACTTTTATTGCTACATCTCTTTTTCTTCTTGTTGAATTACAATGAAAATGACTCACATATTTATAGAAAAACTATGAGACAAATAAAAAGAAAATAGAAATAAATAAGATCGATACACAATATTTGATATAATATTATGTCCATTATTATTTCTAATCATATCTTAAAATCAATATTTCCTTCAATCACATATTTATTTTCCTATTTCAACAACCATGTCATTAATTATGTTTAGTGAATTTATTATTAAGCTTGTTTAGTGACTTTGTTTTTTGATATTCAAAACATAATATATATGATTAGTGAATTTATTATAAACCTTGTTTAGTGATTTTGTCTTTTGATGTTCAAAACATAATATATTTGCATTTCAAGGATTCCACTTTCCATATATATTATGTTTTGAACATCAAAAAACAAAATCACTAAACAATATTAATAATAAATTTTTTAAATATAATTAATGACCTGGTTTTATTAAACAAATTATATGATATTTATATATAACTGTACATGACGTATTGATAGTTTCGTTATTTTTTTGACGTTGTTATTGTTCGTGGAGATTTATGCTAAAAATATAAAAGTTGAGTATTTTATTACCAAAATGAAAGTTTGTGTATTTATTTGCCAAATATACAAAGTTCATATTTTTTTTTTGTCATTGTCCCAAAAATATACTAATAAACTTCCAACTTGTAAAGTTATTATTTAAAACCCAAACTTGCAACATGTAACTGAATAAAACCTTGAACTTGCAAATTGTTGCTCTAATAAACTATTGACCATTTTGATCACAATTTCAGGCGATCGAAAATCTACGTTAGTCCGAAAAGCTGATATCACTGTGTCCACGTAACCAATTTTAAATTATTTTTTGCCACATCATCATTTTTTGGGTCGAAATTTAATCCGGTTTGAGAGTAAATAAACTTGGTTTGGAGCAAAAAATCATTTAAAGTTAGTTACGTGGATACGCCGACATCAGCTTTGCATGCTAATGTGGATTTCCGATCACTTGAAATTGTGGTCAAACCGGTCAACGGGTTATTAGATAAACAATTTGCAAGTTCGAGGTTTTATTCATTTACATATTACAAGTTTGGAGTTTAAATGACAGTTACAAATTTGAAGATTTATTTGTATATTTTTTTTTGTAAGTTCGAGGTTTTTTAGGGATTTTTCTTACCAAAATTAAATATCACATTTTAAGTTGGATAATTAAAATTCTTTAACTTTAAAAACAAAGAAAAAAACATAAACAGAGACCACAAACAGATGTGACAAAAAAACCATTTTTCATTTATTTTTTTAGTCTCCATTTTTTTAATTTATAAATCCTAAAATTTACTATCCTTCTTATAAATAACATAATTGAAAACTCTAAATTCATCTTAAATTCATTTTTGGTTCCTTTCACATCCCGAACCATTTTTTCTTTTATCATTGGAGCCATTTTTTTTTCCTATCACAATATTGCACTTTTCTTAACAAATTTTGGATTTCTCAGGTCTATAATTCTCTAATAAGATAAATTCTTAATCTAATTTTTCATATAACCTAAAATCTATGGTATATTGTTTGATTATGTCAAATATTTGAAACAACAGATTTAAGGCTTCCAGCAGATCCTCATGCACCTTTCTACCACCACTCCACCCACGGCTGATGCAGGTCCCGATCAAATCCTTTGGAAATACAATGAAAATGATTATAGGCCTTGCTTCTTTACTTCAAGAACCTGGCACCATATCAAAACCATCAAGAAAACGGTAACTTGGCATTCAATAGTCTGATAGCCGCGATGTATACCGAGACATGCTATTCTCCTTTGGCAGGTTATGCTTGGCAGATTACCTACCAAAGACCGCTTATATCGATGGGGGTGGTGACAGACCCAACATGTTGTTTATGCGGAATAGAGGACGAGTCACACTTGCACTTGTTCTTTGATTGCAGATTTAGCGAACAGGTTTGGAGCTATTATGCAAGCCTGTGTTGGTCTCACCCACCGCGGAATCCAGCAGCCTGCGTGAATTGGATCAACCCATCGACGAACGACACTAGCCGCAACAGAAAATTCATTGCTAAGAGGCTTCTCTAGCTTGTAGTTTACGAAGTATGAAAAGAGAAAAATCACCGAATCTTTCGGCAAAAAACCCGAACGGTAGCCATCATCAGGTGGAAAATAGACCGCACAATGCGGAATATACTTTCCTCTATCAAATACGAGCCTCCGACGTGAGATCCTCTATACTTGAAGATTGGGGTTATCTAACACGCGACATCCGCAGGTCGTAGAAAGAATACGATGTAGTGATCGTTCATATCTTTTGACCACTTTTCCATGGGTTCCTCATCATTTGTATACGATTTATGGTTGTTCTTGTAAACGATCATTAGACTTGTTGTAATTCTTTAGTTTTTTTAATATAAATCACATTTTCACCCAAAAAAAAGTTGTGTGTGAATATATGGAGATCATTTATCTTGATCATAGTTCAATTTTTATATAATTTATAGGTTTATATTTTTATTTACGTAGTTAATAATTTTTTAAAGATTTGTTGAGTATACATAACTCTCTAATTATAACTAATTGATTTAATATATAAGATAAATAAAAAATATTTGTGTTTTAACGGTAGTTTGTGTTGCCTCCTTTTATGATCTTTTTTGCTTTGTTTTTAAAATTAAGAATTTTAATTAAAGAGTTGTAGGATTAAATTTTAGGAAGTAGTCAAGTTTGAGATTTTTTTTATGTTTGCCCTTTTATTTTATTATTGAAGATTTTTTTCAAATATATGAGAATAATAATTTTATATTGATTAACATTTAAATAGTATTTAAATGATCGATTTGTTCATAAAATTGTATAGGCTTTTGTTATTGGAACTTTTGATTTGAGGTCGAAAATAAAAGGTCAGAATACTTTTTGGGCATGTTTCATGACTTATTTAACATATTTGGCTGTTGACGTCTCTCAATATTTTTTTAATTAATAGTTGATAGTTTATATTAAAATGCAGCAACTTACATAAAGCACCTCGGATTTTGTAAGAAAGCAGACCCATTTACTGGGCTACATTAGGCCCACATTCTTGTCGGCCCAACCCAATACAATTCCAGACGACAAGCATATTCCACATCGTGGCTTTCATAACTTAATAAGGGTATAAATATTTGTGTTTAATTACATATCCTATGATATTTTCAAAAAATTTGTACGAGTTTTTAAGTTTAATGTACAAATTACAATGACTTTTATACTACTAAGTTGCATTAAGAGGAGGAACAACAAATATAATATTTTAAAATGCATTTCTAAAAGGGAACAAAAATGTTTTTGGAATAAGTTCGAAATGTGGCAAATTCCGTACGTATCCACAGTTGCACCGTATGAGAACCGCATCTAATCAGATCTCTGTGAAATACCTAACAAACCACGAAGTTCTCGTCTCTTTCGCTTATGGTCCTTCGCCGAGATGAAATCAAATCCGCCGGAGAACGGACCGAAAGTGGCCGGAGACGAACAGTACATGCGTCTGACCTCCGATGGTCCGAAGAAGACGAGAGACTTGCCCAATGTGTCCGAATGCCGAGCCTGCGGCTTCCGGGTCGACTCCTGCGAAGGTAAGGGGCGAATCCGGTTACTGTACAGCGAATGGCGTGTTGTTCTTTTGTGCAGAAAATGCCTTGTCCGTGTAGAGTCTTCGAAGATTTGTTCTTACTGCTTTGGAGACGCGTCAATGGAGGATTGTGTTCGTTGCTGTCAATGTGATCGATCTTTGCATAGTTCTTGTTTTCAGCACTACAGAACTGTGCCGGTGTGTTCTTGTAATTCGCTCCCCGGTAAGGATTTTTTCATTTGTGTGGATTGTTGGGTTCCTATATCGATAGCGAGAAAGAGACCGATTTCGACGAGTAGGGTCGTTTGTCAACACGGGATGAGTCTGAAACCATTGGACGTGAACAGAGGTATTTGTATAGATGGAAAGAACGTCGAACCAGTGATATTGAGGGAAATGGGTTTGAGGAAAACCATCGCGGAGATGAATGCTATAGAGTTGGATCATACTGTGTTGGATTTGGAAAAGGATGGAGGGGATAGTTTTGAATCTGGGCAGTATAGAAATTTGCATCCTGAAGTGGAAATGGACCCTTTGAATCAAAGTCTAAGTGCGAAAAATCCCGAAGAAAAGTTAATTGATCGAAGCGAAACCTCTACAACTAGATGTTTAAATGTGTATGTAAAGAATAGATGGCGGAGTGGCAAATATTTGTGGATCACGAATGACTGCTTTAGGAAAATGGAGGCAACGGCGATTAAAGGGCAGGAGAGATGTTCAACGAGATTGATGAATTTGTATGTGAGGAAGAGATGGAGGAATGGTAAAGTTGGAGAGAAGCAGAGCTCTGGCTTTCAGAAGAAAGGGGTGGAACAGGAGAAAGGTTCTAAGGATATCAAAGGTACTGAGAAGCAGAATGCTGAGTCTCATAATTCCAATTCAAGGTTAGCAGAGCAAGTCGTGTTGAGAGATGAACGGCAAAGATTTTCAGTTAAGCCCACAAAGGTGTATGCAAGGGTGAGATTCAAGAGCAATGGGTGCACTCGATAGTGTTGATTTTGGTGACTCAAAATACTCAATTGATGCAGAAGAAGTTATGGAAAAGCGGTTCCAGAAACGCAGTCGTCATTGCAGTTATTCTGTGCTTAAATTTGTAATATGGAAAGTGACGCCTCTTTGAACATTGATTGAAGTTCTTGGTAACTATAGGATAAGAATCACTTCATGTATGAAAGATAAGACTTCATTCACCAACTTACAAGAACCTAGGCGTGTGATTGAAGATCTAATGGATTGCATAGCCGTTGGATGACAAGGTAAAACATGATCATTACAATGTAATCTTTGTGTTGTTGTGTATTTTTCCCCTGTACAGTTCCATCTCTCTACCCAAATGAAGCTTACTTGTCCATTTTCATATCCCATTGTTGGGTTTGTGATGTATGAAACCAATTCGTCCCTGTTGGCTTCATATCATTTGCATCTTTTGCAGCGATTAGCATCCTCTTTTATGGTACGAGTTGGATTCAAAGATTTACATTACTTATGACCTTTCAGAGAGTTGTATGTGTTTTACACATCCTGTTTACAACACCCTTGTCGTCTCTGCTCACTTCTGAGTGAAGTCTGGAAAGAATGTGAAAGAGATTGACCGTAAACACATGCCCTTGATCATTCTGGGCCCGGTTTTGGCTTAACCGGCCAGATTTTGTATTGGTTAGGCGGTTCGGGTAATGGAAGCCGGCATTGACTGAGCTGGGAAGTTAGGACAGATCTTGGGAGGAGGATGCAAGTGTCATACTCATATCGCATATCCTGCATTGTCTTTGTCCTCTGTGAGAGAAGAATATACTTTAAAGCATAACCTCTCTCTAAAATTGGTGTTTCATGTTTATATAAACATCAACTCTCTTGCACACAAACATTAAACGTATATATACTTTTGCTCCATGTGTATTAAAATAAAAGAAAATACAACCCATTACAGCATAGATTTTTCAGCTTGATGGGCTGCTGCTAGCCTGCTTGTATATGAAAATCTGAATTCTTTAGATACCAAATTTAATATTTTTGTAATGAACAACATATATTTGATATTTTTTTTTTTGAGGAATAAAGAAGTGTGCCAAAAGGAAAGGTGGAGAGAGGGGTCCGAAGAAAGGCATCAAATGCTTTGTTATTGGGATTCGCACTGTTGCTGAATTCCAAGATCTGCCAACCATTATTGTCTTTACCTGTTTGTTTTTTTAAATTACAAAAACCAAATAAATAAATAAATTAAAATCTCAACGAATCCAGTGAATATGTTCCTTGTTCCAGAGAGAGGAACCTCATGTTTTGGATTCCATTTGCCTTTCGGTCAAAACCCATCTTTGTGTTTTAAAATGACAAGATAAAAAAAAAGTTATGCATATTTTTGGTGTGTAGGTTCTCATCATTATGGTGTCTCGTTTTTCCAGGAAAATGGAGGAAAGTAGAAGATGTGTAAAGATAATGAAAAAAAGGCCAAACAGGGGAACATACTTTTGTTTTTTGTATTTGTCCTAAGCTTTTCTCCCAGGCAGAGATGAGCTCGCTGCTCTTCTCAATGTCTCTCTAGGGGGAGAGAAGAGAGAGAGAGAGCGAGAGAGAAAGTTAATAAAAAGCGATTCCTGGAAAAAAGAATTTGGGGAAAAGAAAGAAAGAAAGAAGTTGGTAAACAATGTTGGGTTAGTGATAGATTTTTTTTTTTTTGAAAAAAAAAGAGAAAAAAGTCTGCGGACAGACTAGGCGAACTCTCCTTGCTGTTGGGGGATTTTCTTCCATAGTGTAAAAATCCTCTGATTCTGTTTCTTTGAGGTTTGTCTCTATCTTGTGATTTCTGTTTTTCGCCGCTCCTGAGGAATCCTGGGTTTTGGTTTTTCTCTGGATCTTCGGTAAAACCATGATGTTTTCATGTCCGAAAGCTCAGATTTATGAGTTCTTCTTTATCTGGGTATTTTGATTTCTGGGGGAAGCTCGTAACTTTTTCGATTTCGAATCTGAGTGGAAGGCGGTTTGTTTAGTGGTATATTTTTGGAGGGTGGTGGTGGTGATTTTTAATGGGGGTTTAAGCCTTAAGGTTGTATTGCGGTGTTAGGGTTTCATTCCATCACAAAATTGGCTACACTCAGTCCAACTCTGGATTCCGACAAGATGGAACTCTGAGTTCTATGATGAGCCGTCACGCCATTAATTTCCAATCCGGAGCCGTGAACAGCACGTCTGAGATGATCCCGATGGGGGTTTACTTCGGTCTGAGCAGTGGCATGTCGGGAGCAATCTCCGATCTGAATGTGACCAATGCCGCTCCTCCTGGATTGATTCAATCTGGAAACTCTTCGGCTTCTTCTCTGCTCATGGATCCTGTTCCCGGGCTCAAGATAGATTCCTCTCTGGCCAGCGAATGGTCTGCAGAGGAACAATACAGATTAGTGGAAGGATTTGAAAAGTGAGTGTTTTCCTCTTTGGTTTAACTTTGAAAACTGAGTGGAAATAGATTCAGGGCATTTGACTTAAACCGGACAACAATGTACGCAGGTATAAAGACAAGCACCCAGTTATGAAGTACATCAAAATCGCAGCTACTTTACCCGAAAAAACTGTTCGGGATGTTGCCTTGCGGTGTAGGTGGATGACGGTGAGCTCTGTTTTCTTTCTATGCCCTTTGAAGCTTTGATTACGTTCTGTGATCAAAGAACAGTGTTGATGGTCCGAAACTTACAACCTCTGGGGAAATTCTTTGAGTGGATCTTGATGCTGCATAGACAAAATGAAACACTGTCTCTCTTGGATTAGTTTCTGCTAGATTTTGCTTTAGAACCCGGATCCAGCCGTCGATTGATTTAACACTGAATTCTTTGAGTCTTATGGATGAGTGTGAGGAACATAAAAAGTTCTTTTCATATGCAGTTTAGAGCAGACTCTTCTTCTTGTGATCTGCAGGATGCAAACTGATCCTTTAGCCTTTGGTTTCAACTATTAAATCGATAAAATTATTTTGGGCAGAGAAATAGAAGAAGAGCCGAAGAACTTAAAGGTGGAAGGAAGATTAGTTCTAGCAAGGTATGTTGGATTTGTTCCTTGAATGTTTGGATCATTACAATTACAGGCCAGCTCCTAGGGTGCTGCTCTTGAATAACAGTTTAAGAAGTGCTTTTAGAAACGCCAATGAACTCAAAAGGTTATGCATTTTCAGGGCAAGACGTTGGGTTTGTCTTCAAAGGTGAACTTACCTTCTACTCTGCCTCATCACATGGCTTCATACCCTTTCTCAATGCCACACCATGCAAGCTCGAATGAACATATTACGAGCAAAGGTTAGTAATCTATCTTTAATCCAAAACATTCCCATCTTAACTTCTCCACTCGGGTCTTTTAGTTTTCAGTTTCATTCAGAAGTAATCCTATCATATTGTGTTTTTTCTCTCGGAAGAGGAGGCAAAAACTAATCACTACTTGGCTCCTTGTCTTGTTTTTTCGGCTCTAGAGATAATGGCCTTAAGTTGCTTAGGTGTTTTTATTACAATGGAGGTAAGGTATCTTCCTCTTGTCTCTTCTCTGTGGGGGATGAGTAAGAATATGTTTCCTTTTAAACAAAAAAAAAAGGCGTTATTTTGAAGGCTTCAACATTGTCTGCTTCTTTCTAGTTTGAAGAAGCCGATATTGTAATGTTGTGTAATGTCCTGCTTTCTCTTCACCTTGTGTGGTTACAAGTAGGGTTTTATGAGATCATAACTTTGAAGGCCACATCTTGTAAAGGAGATAGTTAACTCCTGAATCATTCATTCTTGTCAAAGTTCAAATTTCGGCTGCTTGGTTTTGTTGACATAGTAATTCCGAAGACCGTTGTACTGAAAAGGTTGTCTCTTGTCTAGAAATACATGCTCATTTAGCTTGTCCGTTCTCTTGTCTCAGATTTAAGTGGCAATGCCATACGTCTCTTAGAACAGAACGTACGAGCTTTTAGTCAGATTAGAGCTAACCTGTCCTTATATAAGGTAAGTTTTTCGTTATCGGGTTTATGTGAACGCAAAAGCTTTGTTACCAGAGTAAGTCATCATCATACTAATCCAGGAACACTTCTGTGGGCAGTTACAGGATAACCTACAACTGTTTTGCCAGACAAGGAACAACCTTATAACCGTCGTTAACGAGTACTTCAATGCTTTACCATCATCCTTTATTGCTTGTTCGGTGAATGCCGATCGTTGACTGGATCTTTTATTGTTAACTTTGGTATTTGGCAGTATGAGTAATATACCTGGCATCATGAGCCATATGCCACCATTGCCGGTCTCAGTTAACGAGGATCTTGCCAGTGGTGTATTGACTAATACCACTCTGGTAGGCCGATATGAAACATTTCCCTTCCATGATGCTTTTGCCGGGAATTTATGATTACCTGATCGATTTTGTTCCGTATGCTCAGCCAATGTCATTCAACACCATATCGAGGGGTGTCCACATGAAGCAAGAGCCTTTGGGGTGACTGGTGGGAGGATCTGTGGGTTCAGATTCAGCATACACATTCTGGGTTTTGTCCAAAGTCTCGAAAAATCTCCCTTACCTGTAAGTAAATCCCTAAGAAGCCAGTGTAGAAGGAACCAACCATTGCAAAGTTTGTAGAAATCTGATTCTTTCCACAGCACCAAAGACATATCTACGGCGGCCTGGACATGATAAAGAAGAAAGGTGCAGACTTTGTGCTGAGTGTTTTGACCATCTCTGATCTCTCTCGGGTCGTGAAGGAACGAGAAAAAAAGACGAGCTCTAGATGAAGTTTTTACGATGTCTGGTGTGTGGTTACAAGTTTCGCGTTTGAAACTGGATCTGTGATCGGTGTTTCGCTTTCATGTCTTTGATGTGGTCTTGTATCATATTTCCACTCTTGCTGTGTACGTCCCTGTCGTCTCGGTTGTTTTGTTCTTGCCCTTAATTTGGTACAATTCTAATTGTTGTACCCACATCTTGCAGTGTCCCTTTTCAACTTTTTGTTCCATGAATCTGAAAGCCCATGTCGGATTCTTGTTTATGTATGTATGTGTGTATATACATATATTATTTAAGAAAAGAATGAGAAAATGGACTGTTTATTTGTATGCAAATAAAAAAAGAATTTAGACAGACCGAAGGTAAATGACTAACAGACAAACTGCTATTGGTCCATTCCACCCAAATCATTCCTTGTTGACAAGAGAGCTGATGGCTGCTGCGACAGCTTCACTAAAATTGGGATCAGAAACAATGGCGGTACTCACACTTTCCGACGACTTCTTCTCTTCTCCGGCCTTCCCCATCAACCAACTCAGCCTGTTTCTTGACCTTGACGGGTCGCTGAATTTCAAGCTCCTCATGTTCGGGTCGCCATATGGAGAAAAAGAGGAAGAAGAAGATTCGATGACCCGAGCCGGAGGAGGAGGAAAGGAAGAGAGACGAGAGAGGTTGGTGTAAGTGGAAGAGCCTCCTTCTGAGAGAGAGTCACTTGAGTCGAGTAGCAAGAATGGTGAATTGGAGGCCGTGGAGGTCGTGGAAGCCATTGCTGTCGCTCCCACAGGAAGTGGATGGTTGTGTGTTCCTTCGTACGTTGTTATAAGTATCGACATGTCCTCTAAGCATCTTTGTACCTTCATCCAATTATCCGAAAATGTAAAAGATTCATCAAAAAATACTATATACACACACACATATACACACATTGGTATATGGTTATTACAATTGTAATATATACCTGTTTTCTAACCGGACATCCCGGAGCCACCGTGCAACGGTAATAAGCTCGTGGACATGGATTTCCTTTAGCGGTTTTTTGGCCGTACTTCCTCCATTGACACCCATCATTCATCTGCTTAGACCCATAATTGTTATCAGTCACAGCAATCCTATGCTATATATTTCATGAATCTTCAACAAGAATTTGGTTATATATATATATATATATATACGCTGAAATGAAACTCACAGTTGCAGTCTCGCATCTTGCTCTTACAGAAACTCTTGCCTTCCTATTTGCAGGAGAAGACGCGACAAGACGTGAAGCGTTGTCCCCTGCCTGAAGAAGGTTACTGTTGTATAGTTTCTGATAAGGTTCCTTGTTCTTATTGCTATGGTCGTTAAGATCTCTGGCCTCTTCGAATTTCCTGTTTGATTGCAGAGAAAGCGAAAGCCCTAAATCACCTCCTCGGCCTTCGTCATCCTCCTCCTCATCCGGTATTCTCTTTCTTCCCCTACCTGTACCGAGCGAATGGAAGCCTTGCAGTCCAAGAAAGTTCGGAAGGTCCTTTGCGACATGAACGTAGATCAAGAACATCAAGATCTATATGTATATATATATATGCATATATGTATATGGACAAGATTATATATTTTTGTTTAACCTTGTTATCCGTATGATCGATAACGGGGAATTTCATCTCGAGATGACGGTAATCTTGAAGCTTTTGGTCTACCAGTTTTCTCAGCTTCGTGTTCTCTTCTTTCACACGTTCCATCTCCATGTGTAGCTGCAACAGCTGAACCTCGTACACATATCGATCCATATGAGTTATATATATACACGTTTATATATACACACACACATGCTGTATAACAAGCCCTATATATATATATGCATATATATGTATATGTGTACCTCCTCACGTTCATCTTCCTCTCTACGTGTTCTTGAACTTGGAGGAGAAGAATCTTCTTTGCCTTCATCAGTAGCTTCTTCGTCTTCGTCTTCATCTTCATCTTCTTCCTCTTCCTTTTTTTTTTTGGTCTGTTTGCTTTCAGATTTCAAGTGCCAAAGTCAATTTCATTCTCTCAAGGTTTTAGTATTTGTATTATACACTCTAGGACGCATCTCAAGCTAGCTTTGACTTTCAGTTTTTTATTATTCATTTTATTTTATATTAACTTCATATTTTTATTTTTATTTACAATACAGTTTAACTTTAATGAACGCGCAGTTAAAATTTATATATATATATATATATTTCTTAGGTTAGGTGGCACCCCTTCTCTACAATCATCATCACCATGTATTAATATCATTTTTAAAATGTTCTAATTTACATTACAATAGTAAATAAAGATTTCTTCTTTGATTTAAATAAAAAAGCTAATGCAATATTTTTTTACATATATCAAAACCATAAACTTCTCCAACATAATTGCCTCTACACAAATTGAACTAATTAGTTGTTTATTTATTTTTAAATAGAAAAATGTCTAAATTTTGACACAGGATGGATGGTTGTCTTTCAGGATAGAATATTGACTGTCACATTCATCAAACATCGTGGTACGTTATTTTTTTTTTTATTATTATTCAAAGTAAGAATCTCAAATGCCAAATAATACGAATGTGGATAACTATAATATATTGTATATATTGAATTTTTGTAACGCGGAGTTTTTGAAAATTTCAACCTCTAGAAATTGTAGAAATTAAAATCTATCCCCCAAGTCAGATTGGTATTACGCAATCGTAGAAATTAAAATTTTAATCCTTAATCAATTAATTAGGTATGGGTGTACAGAAATTTTTAGGTATCCGAACCCGATGAATTATTTATTTTAAAATCCAAAATTGAAACTAGTCTTTGGATATCCAAATTATATTATATGTAATACAATTTTCGAGTAGCCATAACCACACATATCTAAATACAATGAATTTTTAATATATTTTTGATTAAAAACTCACAGATCCATAGATTACATATAAACAATTTATAAAATTATTAAAAACAATAGTTATATTCAAAATAATTAGATCATAAAATAATAGTTTTAATATAAATAAAGATTAAAACAATTATATATTGATAGATATTTTTGTAAATTTTTAATAACTCAAAAGTATAATGGTTATTTTCAATTATTCGGGTTATCACGTGTAATTACCTTAATTGAAAATACCAATTCGAATCTGAATTTCGAATTTTAGACATATTAAAATCTGAACTATATCCCGTTATAAAGCAGATGTCTAATTTTCAGATTAGGTTATTTTTTCCACGTCTATATAAGGTTTACGATGTACGGCCCTCACACTATAAGTATAGGTCTTAGGGCAGCTGCGCATATTAATTCTAAGCTTTTGATGTGTTTAACTTAGGTGTAAATTGTAATATCAAACAAAATACCATCTTTGTTTATTCGGCCCCACGTGAATATCATCTCAAGTCGAATATTTTAATAATATGGATATAGATTTGGATATTCTGTTTTATATACACCTAGATTTTCAACATAATTATAAAATTTTCGTTTATATTTGTTAAAACTTTATAAAATTATTCTCAATCTTGAGATTTTAAAAATTGGTCTTGTATTTTCTTAAAAATATAAAATATTTATGAAACATTATGGAAATATTTTACGTCTTTCCACAAAATACGGATTCGGATATATAAAAACTACGATTACAAAATTAGATATTAAATCTCAGCATCCAAAACATTCAAATAACAATTTGGATCATTTAATTTTTTTTTTTGTTAACTTATTTTCATTCCAGCATAAAAGTCAAGAAAATTCATGATTCATATGACCAAATTGGAATGTATACGCATAGAAATTTAATAAATAAATATCAAATGGTTAATTAATTTATATTAAGGAGCGAGATTGTAGTGATAAAGAATGGTGGTGGATGACAAAATAGAGAATGTACAACTGCCATTATCACGTTCCCATAGGCATTGTATATATATTTAGACTATGCATTTGGCACAAGCAAAGAATTTGCTTAGCTAATTCTACATTATTTATTTCTTTCGCCAATTAAATCGGAAGTTTCCTTGGTTCTCAGTCATTTAACATTTAATAAATTTATAAATAAACCTAGTCTTCATTGCTTCATTGATTAGCCCAATAACCACCCCTATATATATATATACAATCAACCCTAAATTTAAAATTTTCAAAATTTCAAAAAAAAGTTTCAAAATCTCATTATAAGTGAATAATATATATATATAAAAGAGGCACTACAAGAAAAATTGTAAATTATGACATAGTTTTCTATAGCTAAAAAAATACGACAGAATGCGACAAAAGAACGACGGATGTGCGGTTTTCCAAAGTTGTCGCAGTCTGTCGCAAGTTTCATCGCTATTTTCAGACGACATTGCTGGATCGCACGGGATCCTCGCACACCGGTTCACAACCGGGCTCAGATCTAGTACGCGGGCTTGTGCAGCGGAAATGACGTTCAAAACTATTTTGAACCGTCCACAGACCAAACCGGTTCCGATGAAGAACTTCAAGAAGAAAACTAACCTTTTGAATCCTGTGGATTCTGATGTCGTCAATCTGGACCGATCGGTCTGGAACATTTTCCGGACCGAGCAACATTTGCACGTTATCTCTGGACCGATCGGTCTACGTCTGGACCGATCGGTCTACATCTGTTCATGCATACTATGCAAGAGGTTTGAATTCTGAGTTCGCAGGCGAAAACCGGGTCGAATTCGGGTGTGAAACGGGGTAGAAACGATGAAAACGAGATCTGATCACGTTTTCGACTAGACCGATCGGTCTGGTCCTCTGGACCAATCGGTCTAGGATTTCGCGTGTCGGTTGGACTGACAGGTCCAGACTGAACGGTCCACACTCGTGGACCGATCGGTCTGGATGGTCAGACCGAAAGGTCTGGACCGTGCTGGACTTGGAGATCGATTCGCGTAGACCGATCGGGTCCAGACCTGGACCGATCGGTCCACATCCCGAGTAAGACCAAAATTTTTGGTTCTTCGTTTCGGCATCTGGTTTGAGCAATCGTTGCTTAACCCGATCAACTGTGATTCAGAATAGCATGATTCGTTCGTTTGGATGATCCATAGTGAATGAATGCATGTAACTTAATCAAGATATTAGATATGCTTGATTGAGTGAGAGCTTCGGGATTGAGATTACATAATCGAATGGATGGTCTATTTGGATTATGTAATACATCTGATCAAGGAACACTGGTTGATCCTTGATTTGATTTGTACAATCGTTGCACAGAAACCGGTTAGATCTAGGAGCTCTACGAGTAAAGCACTTGTCAAGGCCTCGATCGTACGTGTCATGGGCCATGCCAAAGCTGGGTGTGCCGTGCTATCTTGGTGAGGCAAGATGGAGAAATGGAGGTTCTCATAGCTTGAAAGTACATGCTTGATCTAAGTGTGGTTTCGAAAATCCCTTTTATGTAATGCTAAGCGTGTACCTTCCATTACTAGAGCGCATGTCAAGGCATCGATCATCCGTAACACGGGTCATGCCAAAGCTGAGCGTGTCGAATTATCTTTGTGAGACAGGGTGGGAAATCGTGGTTCCTACAGCTTGAATATGGTTTACCTTAGGTTAAGTTGTCGAGTTTGACTTGAGACTTAACGGTACAGATGAGACGAGTATACAATGATATTTGATATCATAGTCTCATAAAGGATCTAAGAGTCACATTGGATGTGATTGACATTAGATGTCTACCTGAATAACGTAAGACTGAATGTAACAACTCATTCTTATGTGAAATACGGATCTTTGTCCCATATAGAAAATTATTGTAGGGTTATTTTTCTTTATGGGAATATAGCTTGTATGTGCATCTATTTTTTCGTTGAGTAATGATGGACTAGCTGGTAGTAGATCATTGATAGAATCTGCACTTTGTTTTGTTCGTTCTGTTTTGTCTTTTTTCTGTAGGACATGGCGTCAACCAGTAGCGTACCGAGTTTGACAATGCGATATATCCTTGAGAAGGATAAGCTCACCGGGACGAACTTCTTGGACTGGTATCGTAACTTGAGAATAATTCTCAAGCACGATAAGAAGTCGTACGTCCTGGAAGGGGCTCTACCACCAGAGTCTGCGGCCAATGCCACGAGAGCCGTCAGGGATGTTTGGTTGAAGCATCAGACTGACGACATTGAGATCTCCTGTCTCATGTTGGGAAGCATGGCCCCGAATCTGCAGAGGCAGTTTGAGGGAAAGA